AAGATTGCTGGAGCATTTAAAAGACAGATACAGCTGGGAAAATACTCATATTCAAACCAAACCATTCTGATTGTCTCAGCACCTAATTCCCTTTTTTATGCTTATAAAGAAACAGAATAATGCATAGGCTAAATAATAAAGAGGAAACCACTACAATGAACTTTTTCCTGGCAAGTTTATTTGCTGGCATTTGTAAATCCACTGAGAATGTGTAGTGCAATCAATATAGCTGAGGCCCAAGTTCTAATTAGAGCCTTCTGTTTGAAAACAGTTTTTCTTTAAACACTACGTGGCTAGTGGTGGCAATACAATATTCCCTAAAAATAAGAAAACGGTTCATTAGTGTTCATGGAAACAGAAGATCAATCTGCCCTTGCGAAAGTTAATGAATACGCAGAAATATCACATCATGACCCCTGATCTCAATGCCTGAGGCAGCAGTATTATTATGCGCTCACCAGAATTGCTCAGCAACAGGACTCAGATACAACTCTTATTGCATTAATTTTATCTGTGTGATTATTTAAATTAATGACACTCTGGCTGCAAGTCACAAACTTCAAGACATGTTCATCTGCTTAAATATTAATGATGCTTTTCTGCTGTAAGGTGTAGGAAGGGAAAGCAGAACTAAATGCTAACAATTTTAAGAATAAATATTAACAACAGTACAAGCATGGAAAATAAAGCTGTTTCACTTAGACAAATGCTGAAACAACCCACTTAAACCTATACCCTTTGTTTTGTTAAATCTTGGTCAAGCAAAAAATGCAAGATCTCCTTTATTAAAAAAGAAAAAAAGTTTTGAAGTATGATGAAAATACCTTGAGGTCTTGAGCGACTTTTGGCAAGTCCTTGTGTAACTCCATCTCACTCTATAAAATAGAAATGGAGAGGATGTCAGCCATCCCATTTCTCTCAGCAGCACAATGATTTATGGTAGTTACGTTGCCCTCTATGCTATTTTAGATAATGGCATTTGCATTCTGTTACCTGTACTAAGAACGTCTAAGAGAAAGAAATGTAATTTGAAGTCTCGACATTATGATTTTTTTTCCCCTAATGTACTTGATTCCAAGATTAGCCTTTTAAGATCATTACCTGCTGAGTTCTGCTGCAGTTTGGACCGTCTCCATCTACCCACTGTGCTATTACCAGTTTGCTGGTTCATACCTGCTCAAAAGATAGAACAACTTTTCTTAGCA